TGTGGACAACGCGCCATCGGGCTTTATGCGACACAGTTCGACTCCCTTTTTTGTGTCACGGTTCTTATAATCTGAAAACCAAAGAGTCCAAATCCGGCAAATCGTTTTAAGAAATAGATTTTGTAAAGAAGTGCCAAAACATGGACTGCTTTGCCAAAGATACAAATGCACCTAAATATTTTATTGGATTTAGGAAACCCTGACTCTTGCCTAAAGGCCACGTGTCCAGTCATCACCAAAATTGCCTTGGCTCGGGAACTTGGGTACGATTGGGAAGGTCAGCATGAAGCACCCCTTCGCCCGATCCGAAGATTGGCCTCTATAATCATGATATTCTTGTTTTGAATAATGCCTATGTGTCTTATTCCGGTTTAATTAGCAGATTACTACGGGGATAGCGCACAGCATAAACAAATATAAGACTAGATCGCCTATTTGGAACAAAGGCAACGCATATTCCGTTTGTTTGGAAAATGTTTTGAAAATTTGCTACCCGCTGAGTAGCTAAAACACAGATTGAATAGAGTGTTATCCAACTCAAGAAATCCAAACCTTCCACCCACAGGCATTCAGGCAGTTCATATCGGACATAAGCATCTAGCCACATGGTAAGCATGCTGTCATGTTAACTTGCACACTCGTGCGAGATGCCTAAAGCACAAACATACTTAACAGTGGTACTCCAAAGCCAAAACAAAGAACTCATTAGACAAATCAATGTATGATCCAAGTCCAATGTTAAGCTGCCTAATGCAACGCATTACAAAATGTAATTAGGGTAGGGCTCGGCTAAATCCTAGGATGGCATGTGAAATGCAAACCATTTGATGCCATATTCAAGTTTAGATTTGGGAAATACTATTGGGCAGGGTTTAGTATTGATGCGGCCGAGCCCGATGCATGCAATAACTGATGATGATGCACGCGGGGAGATGAATAGCATAAGGATGCTAAATTAAATATGTCCTAGTACTAATCATCAAAGCAGGTAATAAATATGGGAGAAAGAGTGGGGGTTTGGAAGAACATGCACACTACGCACCCCACACTTATTACAAATTTTGCCCCTCGCTCAGAGAAGGGACCCGAAAGAATAATACAGATTTAAACTTAACCTACAAGCTAATTAAATTTCAGACCAATAAAACTAGTGAATGCAAATAAACTAATCTATAAACCCACAATACAAGCCCTCAGGAAGAGGGTCCAATGCAATGCGTGCTCGGCTCCGCTCGGAAGTCCACTCCATGCATAGGTTGCCTCTGTCCACACTATTTTTCCTTCTCTGATCATTGTTAAAAATTCCCAATGTGCACTCTAGAACCCTGTGGGATACCACCGGCTCTAAGGGAAATGGTCACCGGCCAACCCAACTGAATCACCGGCCACTGGGATAAATATCAAGGCCACCAAATTGTTGGTCGATCGCACCAAAGATGGTCGCCCACCGGCCAATAATCTTCCGCGGAAAATCCTGTTTTGGAACAGCAGCAGTTTAGGCAAAACAAGGCATGGCATAATGCATTCCAGCAAATGTGTGCACCAACACATCCAACTTAAATCGATGTTTATGACTCAAAGGGACATGGTTCTCGGTTCTTCGGCCACTAATCACGTCGATTTCGATGCGTGATGGCCCAAGAAAACCAAGTTATGCAACTTTGATTTCAAATAAATGCACTAAAACAAGCAAGGAGCTCAACCTCTATCATACTCAAATTCAAGAGGATAAGCTGCATGTCAATGCAATGCCCTAGAATAAGAAGCTGTATGCAACATGAACAATGCGAACAAGCATTCAAAGACATGTGCATCAAAGTATACCAATTAGATAATGCCCGATACCATGGGGATGTACAAGCATGCAAGCAGCATGGACTCTCCATTCAATCTAGGCTAAGATATTTTGGTACATGTGAGGTTGGAGGTATTTCCAGAATCATGCAATATCTAGCTTCAGCTTGCCTCACGAGTATTAGAAAGAAAAAGAAATTCATGATTTTTTCAAAATTTATTTGTTATTCCAGAGGTATGATAATAGGTATCCAAAACTAACTCAAGGCTGGACACTCTTTCCTATTAGCTTGAGCAAACAATAAATGTCATCCACGAAGAAGAGATGAGTTAGACTAGAATAGCTCCGCCTCAAAATCAGTCCCACATTATGATTTTCTCAGAGACTTCTCGAGAGAGAAAATGAAAGGGTATCGGTAGTAAGGACAAAAAGGTATGGGGAGAGAGGATCCATTTGTCGAAGACCCCGAGAAGGAATGAATAAAGCTTTTCTTTCGCCATTTATAAACACTGAAAAGGAGACTGTGGAAACGATTGTCATAACCCATTGTATCCACACTACATCAAACCCCATTTTGACAATAGTCACGTGCAAAAAATCCCATTGGACTCTATCATATGCCTTGTTAAAATCAAGCTTTACCGCCATATCACATCAAGTTCCTCTCTTTTTCAACTTCAGGTGGTGAAAGGCTTCTTGAGCTACAATGATGTTGTCTTGAATCATCCTTCCAGGAACAAATGCTAACTGATGAAGAGAAACAATCTTCTGGAGGATAGATTTAAATCTATTTGCCAAGATATTGGTGTTGATTTTTAGATTGAAATTGCACAAGCTGATAGGTTGAAACTGAGTAAGCATTACGGGGTTTGGGATCTTAGGTATTAAAACCAAATTGGATTGGTTCCATTCCGTAACAGGTGACCATTATTAAAGAAGCTACAAACAATCACACGTACATCTTTCCCAACCGCATCCCATAGAAAATACCAAAATAGCCATTGGGTCTAGGGTCCCTCAAGAGGCCTAACTGGAACACCGTTGTCTTGATCTCAGAATTCGACATTGGCCTAATAAGAAAGGAGCTCATATCCGCCGTTACCGAGAGCCCAACCGAATCCAAAGCCTTATTCATATCTCTTGGATCTATATTGGTGAAAAGCTTGGAAAAATAATCTAAGAGATGTGCATTAATATCATCATCAGAAGTCAGCCACTTGTTATCTTCATCTAATAACTTTATCACTTAGTTCCTTTGTCTTTGTGGAGTAATTGAGGCATGAAAGAACACCGAATTTTGGTCCTCACATTAAAGCCAACGGACCCTCGAGCGTTGGTGCAAATACATTTCTTCCTTTAGAAATACATCCACCAGTTTGTCTGGGATAGTTCACTGATTTTGGAATTTCTCCGCAGATGAAGGTGCTCCTTGAAGCTTCACTAGTTGCTCTTTCAATGATGTAATTCTGATCCTATTGTTCCCAAACTCCCCCGCACTCCAAGCCTTCAGATCAGTCCGACAAGTCTTCAATTTTGACACAAATTGAACATAGGAGAGCCTCTATGATCCATCACCCATCTATCTTGGATAACCTCCTTATAAAGAGGATAAGTCTTCCACGTGGATTCGAACTTAAAGAGTCTTGAAACTCTCTTGGAAGGAATGCACAATTGTAAAAGAATTGGGCAGTGGTTAGAACCAATGAAAGCCTCATTGATAACCTGGGCATACAGAAATGACTCCTTACATCCCACTATAGCAACCGCTTGATCTAATCGCTCCTGAACACTACCAGCTTCTCCTTGGTTATTAGTCAAAGTGAAATTTGGCCCATAGAACTCAAGATCCATGAACGCGCAATCTTGCAATTTGCCTTAAATTAGGCCCCGAACCCCCTTCTTTCTTTCGAACAGAGCCATAATCATTAAAATCACCGATATAGAGCCAAGGTAATTGATTTTCCTTGGCAATACTTTGAAAGTAATTCCAAAAAGCTCTTCGATGAGTCACACAGGGAGGTGCATGTATAAAAGTTTCCAACCATTTGGTGTTACACACAAAGACCATACATCGCAAGATATTCTCATTCTTAGACTTGATATCCATATCCACATCGTCATGCCACCACAAAGCCAGACCCTCTACAGTTCCAACGAGGTCAACATAGCAAGAATTAGAGAACTTAAGTCTTCTACGAATCTTTTCCAAGACACCCACCCTCTTTTTTGTTTTCGTAAGAAATACCACACCAAGATGATGGGTTCTGCATAACCCTCTAAGGATCTGGACTATTAGAGGTCGCCCAATCCCTTGACAATTCTAACTGATAATCAGTATGGCTTGTGTGGCTTTTGTCGGCCAGCCACCAAAGCCTTATCATAGACAATGCAACAAGCATCACTAGGGAATGTCCTCTGAACCTAAGAAACAATATCAACATCTTCACCTCCAGCCGAGGCATCATCACGAATTTCCACATCGAAAAGGGCAGTAGAATCATGCTCAACTTTCAACCTCTTACCATACTTAGGTGATCTCCCACTCTGCTATTTCTGGGGAGTAGCGAGCAAGAGAAGCCTCAGAATTAAGAATTGGTGTACTACGGGAAGGCTGAGGTTCAAAGAGGGAGTCATGTTACGTCTTTGATTTTTAGAGGAAGGTAGGCTTAGATGGTTCTCCTCAAAGGCTTTCCGTTTTAAGGATAGTTCATCAAAGACTGTGGATAAGGTTGTGTTAGGTATGATTGGTAGGGCTTTAGGAAGAGTCAAAGGCTTTGGTACAGTGATTGGGTTAGCTGTATATTTTGGTGTGGAATATGGGCTAAGGGAGGGGCCATTATCGTTAGATTGGGATGGACATTTAGAGAGAAGGGAATGTGGGCCATTTAAACAGGTGGGGCTATTTTTAGAAGGCTCTATGACAAAATAAGCAAGCCCATGGGCTGATGACCCCGTTGGTTCAGTAGGCCCAACCTTAGGGATAATAAGAAGAGATAGTGTTGATAATACCTTAGAAGATGACTCAACCCTCAAGTTTGGAATAGGATGATCTGATATAACAACCCTGAACTGTGATTAGCCACTAATCCATGATTAAGAGTACTTAATCAGTAATGAAGAAGAAATTCTGAATTAATTGCATGTGTATTGCATTATTTGTGTTTATATCTGGCTGCTATAGGAATATCTATTTGTATTTCTATTTTGTTCTGCTCATTGAAGGCCTTATCGGCATCCGATCATCAAATTGACTTGGCTTACATGTAATTTAGAATTTTTAGAATTTTATGGTAGGTTTAATTGAAATTTGATTCGGGACTGAATAATTAGAATAAATAATGCCAATTAATTAGTCATTACTTAGAGCTTACTAATTACGTCTATATAAGGCTATTGGTGACTTAAACATTTCACCTTCATTTCTTTATGAGCAAAAACGTGGAGAGAGAGAGAGAGAGAGAGAGAGAGAGAGAGAGAGAGGTGAAATTTAAGTTCAACAACTAGAAGAAGGGTAATTGAGGGAAACTAAGGAGAATTAGCTTGGTCACTTAAGAATTTGACTACTTGAAGCTCAATTGGGAAGTTTAGGTGAGAATTCAAACCTTTGATGACGTAATTAAGTTAGCTAATTATGGCTTGCTTTTCGTGCTCCTTTCGGATATGACTAGCCCTACAGTTCAGACTCCCGTAATTTTGAATCTGATTTCATAAGTGCAATATGAAATAGATAAACACAAATGAGTCCAAATTTGACAATTCTTTTGGAAAATCAATTTTGAATCGAAATGCCAAAAATGGACTGCTTTGCCAGATTACAAAGTTGCCATCTAAATATTTTTGAAAAATTTAGGAAACCCATGATTCATGCTAAAGGCCACGTGTCTATCATCACCAAATTGTCTCGGCTCGGAAACTTAGGTATAAGAGGGGAAGGTCATGAATTGAGCACCCCACTCACCCGATCAAATATTGGCCTCTACTAATCATGATGTGATTCGTATTTACATTAAATGCTCTTGTTCCGATTATTTAGGCTATATTACTACGTGATGCACACAAGTATAGACTAATTTGCAAAAGTTGGAACACTTTATTTTCATATTTGTTTGAAAAGTGTTTGAATATATACCACTTGAAAAAGTGATATCATATGTACATTAATCAAATCATTCCAATTTAAGGAAAACAACCTTTATCCATAGGGATTCAAACAGGTATATCGACTAAGCACTTAGCCTCATGGTAAACATGTTTGATATGGCAACAATTGCACACATGTAATATGCTAAAGCACAAAATGCTCACCTGGTACTCCGAGGCACGCCAAAGAAGATAAAATAATTAGAAAAAATCCATGATCCTAAACATTGCAATATGACTAATGCAACGCATATGAAATGCAACTATGAGGTTTGGTTTTTAATATGTCATATGAATCAACAAAACATACGGTAGCACATGTACTAAAGTAAGGATGAAATGACAATGTTGGTTAGAATGATGAACCAAACCTATTCCATGCAAGACTAATGGATGCAAGCCATGGAAAATGCTAAGGTAAATATGATGCTATATACAATCCATCATAAGCAGATAAATAAAAGGGAGAAAGAAATACACAGATTATTACATGTTTGCCCTCATGCAAGAAAATTCGAATAAATGTTCTAGCTAATTACCAAATTAACTAGCTATTACAAACCAAATGAAATTAATTAACTATACTAGCTAATTAGTAGAAGTTTGAACGAAGCTAATTAATTAAGTACAACATGAGATTAATTAACTAAGTTATTACAAATTCAAGGGAATTAACTCACTAATTAACTAACTAATTAACTAAGAGCTATGCAAACTAATTAAATGCAGGGGGTTAAGGAACCATGCATGCCAATGTGAACATCCGCCCGAAAACACCTCTGTTTTGTTGCCAGAACAGTTCTGTCTGTAGAAAATGTTTTTGTTTTTGCCTCAAATAATGCTTTATTTTGCAGGAAAATGACACTGCCTTGCTGAAAAGAGATGGCCGACTGGCCAATAAAAATGGTCGGTCGGATGAAAATGGTGGCTGGCCGGCCACTATTGTTGGTACTACCCTGCTATAGCAGAAAAGGAACATAGTAGAAATAGAGTGTTTCCAAGAGATATTTATCCTCTCTGCCTCTCCTTATCATGAAATTGATCAAAGGAGGGGTAGAATCGATTCATGAATCATCAATAGTCGTAAGGTTATTGCATAGTGATCCATGACTCAATTGGGCAAAAGCTCAATTAAGGAAAATAAAAGACCAAGAAAACCTCCTCCCTATCATGGAATTGATCAAGGGAAGTGGTTGACATTGATTCTCAAACCATTATAATCACTAACAAGTATGAAATGGCGTAAGGCTCAATGGGTTCGATTAACATTCGATGAACCCAAACCAATTTTATTATCTTGTTCCATTTTTACTCCAATTTTATCACCTCTTTTAATTACCTTTCCACCCCTAAGTCATTTTAGTTTAAAAATGGAAGGTAAGTCCATTAAATGGAGAAGAATGTCAAACAAGAAGCTGTTTTGGGCATGAGAGACAGGTAATGCCCTAGTAATGAACCTCCAAAGAGATTAAACCATTTAGCATTGTATGGTCCCTTTCTCAAGCTTAAACAACACTTGGTTGAAACAATTCTCAAAGGAATAAAAATCCAAGAAAGGAGGGAGGTTGCAGAGATGATCATATGTGAACACAAGTATGGAAAACATGAAATAAATGTTATCAACTCAAATAGGTTGGTG